CCACCGGGCCGTGCCCACCCCCCTTCGGTGTCTGGGCGCTGCCACCAAACAGCACCTGTTGGGCGTCACGGCCGCACAGTGGCGTGGCGTTCAGAGAGATTATCGCCAATTAGGACGGGAGCCAAGCGCCCAGCGGGGGTGGGGCAGCAGGAGCAGGTGCTCTGGGAGCTGCCGTGTGGCAGGTGACTTCCGCATCATTGCTATTAATGAAGAGAGACAAGCCATTTCGGGGGGGGCGGGCGTGCTCACAGCCTACGGCTCTCATCATAGCAGTGTCACTGGGGACAGGGGCTGAACCTCGAAAATCAATGAAAACAGGGTAAATAAATACTTAGCACTGTAAAGGGGGACCCCCCCCCCCTCACCAGTGTCAACAGGCTTCCATACACACCTCTGATCACACACACGCACGCGCACACACACACACACACACACACACACAAACAGATCACACGTGGCTATTTAAACAAAGGCAAAAAAAGACAACAAATATGTGCATCAGAAAACAGACACACGAGCAGCTAATCAGACGTGGCTCACTATAGATGTGGCTGACAGTAAAGGAATATGGATATCATAGAAAATATACATACTTATAAAAAGTAGATATATCTACAAAGGTGCAGAAAGTCGCTGACTCAAAGCCAATCACAGAATCACTCAGCAAACAGAAGCCCGACCCCTCGACAGGCAGTGCTTAAGCCTTACAACCAGAGACCCTTAATCCCCCTAAACCACTGTGTCCGGGAGGCTGTCTTTCTCCTCTGGCCCCTAATTAATTAGCTGTGATTGAGCCATTGATTGAATGGAAGGAGCGAATCAAAGGGCATTAAAGCGAAAGTGTGTGTGATGTGTGATTTTCCAATCACATCCCGATCTCTCATGGGCCTAAAGCAATCAGGTAGCGGCTCGAGTCATTCCATTAAAATTCAGTGCTTCTCCAGTGTTTGTTTCACAAATAATCAAATAATGGAAACGCGACACACCCAAAACACTTTTCAATTAAGAGATTCTGTAAACGACTTCTAATTCAAATGATGAACACAGTGGGCAATTCATCACAATGGTGCAGTCATCCCTGCTTAACCCGCATTGTCTTCCGTAATTCCGGGCATCCCCGGCAGCCGGAGGCTCCCCCCAGCGGGATGGGTGCCTACCACAGGTCCTCGGCCAAGCATTGATTGCGGCACGCCTTCAGTTATGCACTTCACGGTCCAAAGCATTGTAATTATCAGCTCAGCTGGCCCAGAGCAAAACTTCACACAGAGAAAGGTCACCAGGTCCAGGATCAGAAAAGCGTCCTTTAGGTGTGTCAGGTTGAAGTGACTGGTTGGGACTTTCTGTTGAACCCTTGAGTGGGGTACATTGAAAACCAAACAGTAACCTCACTGTGCATCACTAATCACACATTTGCTTTACATCCATGTATTGTGTGCTGAGTCGTGGTGAGTTTTCAGCCTGTCCAAGGAAACACAGCACACAAGGCAGGGGATGTACTGGATGAGATATCAGTCCCTTGCAGGCCAGGCACACAATCACACACCCTGGGGCATTCAGAGAGATCAATTCATATAACTGCATTATATTGTAATTTTAGAAGCAGGAGTACATGAAGGAAACCAGCACAAGACAGGGACAAGATCCAAACACCACACACAAAAAACATGAGTGGGATTCGAACCAACAACCCAGGAGGTGTGCTAGAACACTACTACCCCCATGCTGCCTGCATCCACTAATCAATAAAACATCCATCCATCCATCTATCCATTTTCTGAAACCACTTGTCCTATTCAGGGTTCAAGTAATCAATGAAATATGATTTTTAAAAGATTAATCCATTTTTATTCATTATTATAAAGAATAACGATGATGAATGCAGCACAAAGCTGGATGTCAATGGATGATCGACTGGTTCAGAAGCCGGTCTCCACGGAGACCACCTCCCGCATCTTTTACAGCTGCGGTGATCCGGATTTATCCTCCATGACCCGCTGCGCGGAGGGTCTAGCCACATTGGGGTGTCCGTGCATGCGACACGGCGGGACACTGGCGCTGAGGTCTGGACTGGCTACAAGCATTTCCTGGGAGGCTAAGTCCCAGATTGGCTTGGTGCCTGGGGGCCGATTGAGTGGCCCTTCTGTGCAGCAGGCCTGAACTGAGGGGGGGGGCAAGCGGCCGTGGGAAGATGTGCATGCTCCAGTGTAATGATTGCGTACATTATTGCCCACTTTACTGCATAGCTGTCCTTGCTGGCACTGTAATCATTACCCACTATACTGTACAGTTGTCTTTGTTGTCATTGTGTCATTGTGAATCAGAGTAGCATAAACGGGGACCCCCAGACAGTTCACATTTTTGCTCTCTCCCAGCTCCCAGCCAATCAAGAACACCAAATACCTGGCACAGGTGATTAGATGGCATACAGCAAAAATCTGGGCTGTCTGTGTGTCCCCGAGGACTGGGTTGAGAAACGCTGGTCTGTGCAGCTTTACCAGGACCAAGAGAGGGGGAAAAACCCATAACAATGAACTTAATGAAACAGGAGAAGTGAATCAACACAACACTGGAAAACTACCAGCTACACACACGCTGAGGCAGGGCAGGGAGAGGAGGTGTAAATCACAGACCGGGATTATCCGTACGCCGCCCACCGCGAGGAAGACCCCAGTCCCCTGCAGGTGACTCACACGTACACTCACTCTCTCACTCGCTCACCCGGAGGGCTTGGCCTCACCCCTAATGCGCAGCTGTGCCAACCAACAAGCGTCGATCTGTGGCATCCGGGTCACACCACCGGAGATACCAGTCCAGAGCCAACGGAACCAGTCACGCTTCAACTCCAGGAGCTTACATCACCACCGTCAAGCTCCGCTGCACAGAGGCAAGAGGTGGGGTCGGCTTCGTCTGAAGGTGCATTTTAATCCACAGTGAGAGTCTCCTTCTCTCAGATTACTTCCTGCCTTGGAGCTGATCAATAAATTCTGCCCTCAAGCTCATACCGCAAAAGTTGCCTCACATTTACACCTCTTTGAAGAAAGACAACAACACAGTTCAACTTAAACCCAATAACCAATACTTAGATGTGGAACCACAACATGCAAATAAGGGTCATTCTATTGGCTGGTTCAATTCATCTCCTTAAACTCACATGACACATCCATGTCATAAAACAGGCAGTCGAAATCTGACCATACTGAAACACACCAGTCTCCTGGTCCATCACCACCAGCCGATATCAATATTACTGTGGTTTCTATGATCTTTCCCTCAAATGGCAGGTCATCTGCCAAGCGTGATCAAATGCTGCCATGACAGGGTATTCCTTGGCAACCCAGGAAAAACTGAACTAGGATGATGACCCCCAGGAAAATGAGGCGACAGCCATCACCCTCCTTCTAATCTGGCCACAACAAACGCTTGTCCCCTCTCCCCAGGACAGGACACTGCAGGGGGAGACCCACCAGTGGTAAATGGTGACATTACTGGTTGAAACTACCACAGCCCAGGACTTTTTATGTGCAGAGACCACGTCCACCCGAGCGGGTGATTCAAGCACGCTCGTGGCTAACAAACCCTCGCCTCGAGCTGCCCGCTCGATCACACGCGTAGGTCACACAATACCATGAAACAGTTTCAATTTACCCCACGTAAATAACATCGGACCGCTTCAGCACACAGACATTTCACACCTATAAAACTGTTGCGTTAATACACAAGAGCTTCCTACATGAGATTTGTTTTCTTTTTTCTTCTTTTTTTACCACTTCATTATTCAACTGAGTCACAAGTGGCCGAAACAAAATGCCAGGTGTGAGATTCGATTCAGTCGAGGGTACCGGCAGCCCAGCGCGTGGCCGGCGGATCGGCGCTGACGTATCACCAGTAACGGCCGCGTGCTCCGAGCCCCGACGGGGCCGCGGATGAGGGGGTCCAGCCTACGACATTGGGGAAAGGACACATCTAACCGTGGGGGACTCATGCTGTGGCGGCCTGGGGCGCTCGGCATAAGGCTTGTGATTAGGAGGTTTTCTTTCAGTGAGGGGTGCTGTTGTACTGGCCCTTAAGTGAAACACTCAACTTGAGGGGCGGGGGTTGCTTTGGTAAATAATTAGCTGTTTTCATAAGGAAAGCCTTAAGGTGTGACTTATGTAAATCGCCCTGAAAATGACATTTACTGGGAAAATGTTAATTTCACTTATCACACTCCAGTTATGTTTTTTTTTTCCATGATAAAATTAAGCTCCGTCTCAGTATTTTTGCCCTCCCCAAGTGTATTACTGTCTTCTCGAGAGCTTTATATGAGGGAAGCATTGTACAATTGCGAACGTTTAAATCTTTATAAAGCTGCTGTAATTTAGTGATTAAAGCTGAGGGTGGCAGGATTGTAGCTGTGTATTTAAGGCTTTTTCACGGGGAAATCCGGAGTTTGGTGGGAGGGGGGGTTGATGGGCCATCCCGCTGCGCACCGAAGGACCTCTTCTCCGCTCCAGGCATCCCCATGATAGCGCGCCCTCCCCCGGCGTGTGCGCACCTGTGCCGGCGCCTCGCGTCTTCGCCAAGCTGAACGCGCAGCCGCATCGGCACACACTGGGGACCTTTGATACCATTAAATGCACCCGAGCAACTTTATTTGCTATTACTTTTACCCAGGTCTTGTCACCGGCGATGCGAAAATACGGCTATTCACGATATGTCCTGCGCGTCCATATCTGTGTGTGTGGGCGAGCGCGCTGGTACAAAGTCAGCCCATTAGTGCTTGAGCGCACTTCCGGAAGACTGATGACATCCCAAACTTAGGCTTTTATAAATGTCCTACACAGCGAGCAATAACGAATCAAGCGGCTCCGTCGAGAACCCACGCCTCCCGTTTCCAAAAACAAAGCACTTCACATCTGTTAACTCTTCGCGCAGCCTCCAAACTGGGGATGGGGGAGATCTGTGTACCGAGTCCAGGTAAAAGGCTTCTTATTTAAAATTTCCCACGGTTGTTCGCTTACCTTTTATTTCCCACACAGTTAGCGATAGACGTGCTGGTCGTTCCGTGAAAAGAGGATGGCCACGACATCCGAGTCTTCTTAAGCCCGGGTCGGTCGCTCGTGTCCACCGCGTTGGAGCGCTCGATCTGTGGGTGGTGGTGCCGATCCGTGTCCGAGTATCCACGGTGCTTTATTTTGATTGGGGTCCGGGGCTGTCTCCAGAGGTGTTGCGGAGGCTTGAGGGTGGCCTGCCCCTCCCGGGGCACTGGCAAAGACAAAGACAAGCTCTTCTTCGAGCAAGGTGGCGTTTCCATCATAGTGCAAATATAACGATCCCTTAAAAGTAAAATACCTGACTCTATATACAATATTCAAAACTAACTAATTTGGCTATTAATTATTTTATAAATTCAAAAATAAATTTCTATTTCCATCATGAAAATAAAATCACAGTGCTGTCAGACGTAGTTGAGAGCTACTCTCGGTAGTGTAATATATTGCTATCCAGTCAAAATCCAATCAAAAGTTTTCTTTTTATATAAACCCAGAAAGATCAGTTGCTGTGTGCACATCCGATCATTTAAACCGTTAGAATATCCACGGGGCAGATGACTGGAGACAATAGCGAGCGTATCTTCTCCCGAAGTTAGTCGCCTCATCGCCCATGGCGCAATGGAACACTTATTTACAGCGCAATTTATTGCTTTTTATCAGTCGCTTATTGCAGAATCACAGACCACTGGCGCAGCGCTGCGAGGTATTATTGCCGCCCGCGGCTGCACCTGTCCATCAAAGCTCACCCGTAATCGCTCCTTTTTTAAACGGATCCATAAAAAAGTATCCAGAACGCGAGAATTTGGAGCTATAACGAACGAAGAAATAACACAATTTTTAATACGATTATCGCTCTTTCAAGTTAAAATATTCCGTAACACTGCTTTATATGATGACACTCCGGCTTTTAATTATGGCTATATCTAAACAACTGCGAAAAAAACCTTCTGTTGTTCCTTTTCTTTATTTTAACCCGTCAAGCATTGGAAGCAGCAACCGGTTCCAGTCGAAAAATGTTCAAGTCTCTCCTGCTATTTGTCTTGTCCGGTCGGCCTCTATTTTCCCCTTTTTCTAGGTTGTCGGCAGCAGTTTTATGGTATTTAGAATACACCATTGCGCCTCCCTCGTCATCTCTTGGTGCTCACGTCGTACTCCCTCTCGCTCCCTTTCTCTCTGCCTCTCAAACACATACACATATACACACACACACAGACACACGCGCGCACACACACCGACACACGCGCACACACACCGACACACGCGCGCACACACACAACGTTAGCGCGCCTCCTCTTCGCCTTCTCGTATATCTCCCATCTAGATGGAATACGATATGTGATTTTATACAATGTCTTCTGGTTTTATACTGCACTCTAATTGTAAGAGCACAGCACGTTTTTTTTTAATCATCTCAGGGTCTGGGGGCTTTTTAAACAAACGGCCGTTAAATTGTCAAATTTAATGAAGCGTGACCGCCCGTCAAATCTTCGTCGCCCGGTTTTCATGGGTGATAAGAGCGGTTAAAAGTAATACGGGAATCAGGCTACGAATTTCGCTTTTATATGAGTATCTCTTTCCAGTCTTTCCATTTGTTTCCAGCTTTTTTTTGTCGCAATGTATCTCTACATATATTCCTCCCACTGCTGTGAGTTGTCATTTTGGCTTTCATACGTGGAAACGCGGTTTTCCCCCCTCCAAAGCCTGCTATTATAAGGGCGATTATTCGCAAAACATTTTCTCCGCTTAGGTTATAAGTACGTTCGTTACGCGTAAAGCATTAATTCGACGGCAATGTAGGGTACGTACGGTGCCCATCAATACATTTCGCCCACGCTTCTTTTTTTTCTTTTTCCTCCAGGACAGAAGCGTTTCTATTTCGATTGAGTGGACATTCATTTCTGCGCTGAAGACTGAGTCCTGCACCCCGCCATCCAGATAGCCGAGCTGACATGCTCTCCATGTGCGCGCATCAGTCCTTATTTATTTATTTATAATGTTTTTATTTTGTTTATATATATTTTTTACATAACATTAATTTATTGTGGTTTATTCTGAATTGTTCCCTAGGTGACGCGCACACGTATTACGGGCCTCTGAATATCATGCTCAACAAATCCGTAACTTAGCGCGGCTTCCTGCAAATTAAACTTCATTTGCTCGGCTGGCACGCTGGTGAAAGCGCGACGACTAGGGGAAAGTAACAAAGGGACTTAAAATACCCCCTTTCACCGCAATCGTCTATTTTCCGCGGCGGTAATGAGAGCACATAACATTATGTTTCTGCTGACGGAATGACTTGGTGCAGGACCTGCCTCGCCAGCTAGCCCCCAGCCTTGCTTGTTTGCACCTTTTGCAGACACTCGATCCAAGTTAATTGATTCAGTCAGGTCATCCGGCGCATTTACGGCTTAAGGACAGTGTCTGCCAGTAGTTTTATAGTCTCATTTTGCCTAATATACAGACAGGCATAGGGAATAATTGTAATAAACCCAAGTATCCCTTATTTAGTCATTCATTCTGAATGAAGGGACTGCAATTGTGCTCTGTAAGCCAGTAGGACATAAGGCATGTTCTGGGGCATCAGAAGGGCTCGGACACCCGGCACATTCATGGGGCCCAGGACTTCATAGGGGCCCCTGCTCACTCAGCAAATTCTATCCACTGGGACCCGTATTTCTTTAGATTGCAAACCCAAGTGGGGGGTCCCAAGATGACATTTTGTCAGGTGGCCTAGAAATTCTAGATATGGCCCTGTGCGTGTGAAAGAAGAGAGCATCATTGGAACATGGGGACAGGCAATAAAATACGAACAAAAAAAATCTGCCAGAGTATAATTTCATTGTTTGACGCCGGTAAATGCTTAAGTAGCCCGAAACTGATTAATCAGAGTAAAAGCATGTAACATGGATGGCAGCCAGCTCTTACTTTCTGTACTGACTTTAGGTGTATTTTCACCGCGGCTGGCTTTCGATATTTTATGCACCTCATATTTATTCCATAAATATATTTATTCCATAAATATGAGCCCATCCAAAACACTGCGATGAGCATGTGGATTGGCTCTCCGGCTGTGCTTTGGCACAAAGCCCCTCCCTTTAATTTGCATGACTGCGTCACCTCGGGTGTGTTCCTAGCAATGCCCCCTCCCTAGACTGAACCTCGTCAACTTTAGTTATCGCCGGTACTCCATGTTTGTAGATGTTCATCTTGATAGCCGTTTGATAAGACAGAGACAGCAAGGATGTGGAGCCGAAGACCAAGAACAGTTTATATATTTTACTAAAGTGAAAACACAACTCTAAGATGAGCACATGGAGATGTGGAAGGATCTGTACCTCCTACCAGCTGCGGGGCTTCACAGACACGCGTCTCCTTCACATTTACAAAACAAAACAAAAGCTGATTGGCTAATTGGCTTAATTTCACCAGAGCTTTTGTTTCCTTGTACCAGATGACTTGCCAGTATCAGAAGGAAGTTGTATCATCACTTTCTACATAGCCATGACTGAACTGTATATTATCTGTACGGCCGTATTTTTCTGACCCGTGTCAGTACTACGTGTTTGATTACCTCCAGGCGATTAACAGCATATAAAGACCGCGTTTCCATTAAATAGCAGCAACACAGAAGTTGGTAATTACCATGTGACCCACAAGCATGGGACCAAAAAAAAAAACAAAAACATTTTAATATAGAACATCTCATGAAGGTTTGACAAAACGCACCTTTAAGTACCAACTTAAAAAAAGAAAAACTTAGCAGCTTGTGTGTTGGACTGGAAGGTTATTGTTATGGAATGGACCGATCTTGCATTCAGAAGTACAGAGGAAGTTCAGTAGACTCATCCCAAATCTATCCTGCACTCATCCCTTCTGTTGCGGTAGAAGCAGGAAATATTACAGTAACCTCTACCAGCTGTACCAGATGTGCATTGACAGTAATTTTTGGTAAGAAAGCACATTCTGATTCTAACCCATCTCATTCAGCCCTCTGACAGCCCAGATTTACACTCAGCGCCCAGGTGCACATGCCTTGTCTTTCAAATTTACAGCCCCACAGAAGAGATTTCCATATACAGTACACAAGTTTGACTGTGAGGTCATCTAGACGTGCTTTATCCGAGATGTGAGCGCTGATGTTCGGTCGTGCAGAGTCGGCTGAGAGCCACTGATGTAATGGAACAGTCTTGTTTATCCTCAGAAATATCTATAAACACTCTTAATGGATTCTTAACCAGCTCCGGAGGCTGCTTCTTATTCCCATTCCAACAGTAGAAAGGAATGGGATGATGCACTTGAAGACAGGATCACATTTCAGCCCATAACAACCTCCTACCAGGAAGTCCCCACTGGGCTGGGTACACTGGTGTTGAATATTATATGGATTCTACTTGCCCTTTATTTCCTGGATTTATACAACAGGCGATGACAATTACACAAGCGCTCTTTGAGAAAAGTGGATAATTTCACAACCCTTTCGGGCACTGGGGAGTTTCTCCACACTTGTCAAGAGGAACCTTTAAAATACCTACCCCCCCCCCCCCCCCCCCTAAAATACCTACCCCCCCCCCCCCTTCTGCTTCCAGTGGGGGAGGGCTTTCAGTCCATTTCATAAGATAAGCATACATTCAAAGGCATTTAGGAATCATCCATTTGTGGTTCTGCGAGCTTGAGATAAAAGCCAGTGGTATCATTTTCCAAGAGCAATGCTGTGTATCAGGGGGCAGACGGCAGCCCAAATGTCTCAGATGTAGCGGCAACCCAGAGTAATAATACACAACGCGAGGGGCAGCAAAGTGTGGCTCTATCATAAAGGTGGCTGAGCGAGCTATTGATCAGAGGCAGCTGTATTACATCAAGCTAGCCCCTGCTCCCCTGCCCAGCCCATCGAATACCCAGAGACACGGAACACCTGCCGTTACCCCGGCTTTCCAGGCACGTCCAACACAAGCACTGCAGCGCTTTCCTTTGAGGAAAATTAGCCTAAGAAATACCTATGCACAAGCCATATGTATATATTATGCTTAGTGTCAAAATGATTGACTTGTAAATATTAAGTAGGACTTGCAACTCAAACCTTACATTGGTGACAGCTACGTTAACATCCTTAAGATACTGTAAGTAAATAGATTGAAGCAGGGAGCCAGACAGTCGGAGGCAGGAGGGTAATTCACTTTGGGGAACATCAGTCGGTGATTTCTCGCCATTCACTTAACGTCACAGGGCTTAATTGATTTAGATTCCAGTTGCTTACTGGCTGAGCTGGGGCCTCTGCTATTGCTATGGTGGAAAGCCACCTGCTAACCTAACCAAACCATACCCACTTTGGTACCAAGGGCATGAACAAGGCACAGTTAGGACTCTGCTAGAATAAA